AGGCCAGCTGGGACTACCTTGGGGGGCTATCTCTGCGCAGCCCGAAGCCTTACCAGATATCACTGTGATGCGAGAGAGCATCGGGCTGCTCCTCCTCAACAGGGTGGCGGAGGCGGAGCAGCGGCTCCAGGACGCCACGGTGGAGGCGGACTCCAGAGAGATCAAGTTTGCGGAGGGCGACCACGATATGCGGGGCGGCTTTGCCTTCGTTTCGGCCATCATGGGGCTCATCGTGAGGAACAAACCACGGCACAAACATAAACTTTCGGATCTGCGCGCGAATCCCTTGGATCGGTGCTGTGCCCCCCCTCCCTGGTGCGCTGAGCGCGCGGGGGGCAGCGCCGGAGGCGGCGCCAGTGGGGCCCAGCGCCGGTCCAAGAAATCTGCGCGGACCTCCGAAAGTTTACTGTCGAGAACTTATTCTTAGCGTGTCGTCGCGGCGGCCCCAGCGACACGCTATGCCCTGCGTGCTGATGGCGTGTCGCTCCGCCGCCCCTGGCGCGCTTCGCGCGCCACGGAGGGGGGCCCAGCGCCGATCTAAGAAATCCGCGCGGACTATTTATGTTCATGTTGTTGTTTCTTCCTCCATCGTCAACGGCCTCGCGTCCATGGAGAACGACCAGCTCGACACGGTCCTGCAGAAGGTGTGGGCCGCGGACAAGTTGCTGGAGGCAGAAGCGCAATAATACAATATATCATGTACATATTGTGCACTTGATACAAGCACGCATAAGGAACACATGACATACCAAACTATGCATAGGCCAACGCATACACACATGCCATTATCCATGCAACCAACACTCGAATCACACATAGATCAGCTAATACATGAGAAACAAGCTGCTGGAGGCGGACGGGGACTGGGCAGGCAAGACCGTGCTCCGGGGTCTGTGCCTCCTCGTGGCAGGCGTGGTCACCATCATGCAGGGGACCTCAGAGGAGGAAAAGGTATCGCTACCGCCACCCTGTCCCTGTTTCCGCCTTTTTGGGCCTCCTGTGGGCATGCTCGGCCCTTTGCTGCACTGATACGCCCGTCTTGAAACGCAACATGTGCGATGTTCAAAACGTCCGTGTTGACACGTTGCGTGTTGGCTCGGCGTGTTAGCCCACGTTTTGGCGAACGCATCGCGCCAGACCTACGTGTTCAGTCTGCGTATGGAGCTCCGTGTCATCATGTTACGGGTTGCGTGTTGCGTGTCGGGGCAGCTAAGGCTCGACTTTAACGCTCCCGTCGACCTCGCGAGTGGCGTTCAGGTCAGTACCGTCAACGATTTCTTCAAACCTGGCAGCCCGCTCGGCCATGCGCTTTCTGTTGCGTTCTTGCACTTGGCTGCCGCGCAGGGCCAGCCGCGCCCAATCGACGCAAGAGTTCCATTCGTCAGAAGACGATTCGATATATAGAGTTGAGCTCTCCATGGCACGTGAGGCGCTCGTCGCCACGGCAGGATTGGCCCCGGGGTTTTGGCCAGAAGGCACCCCGGGAGAGGTCCGGGGAGTCGCGGCATCGGCACCTCTTGTTCTCCCCAGGACCGCCGCCCGCGGCGTCTGGCACGTGCTTCGCTCGTGGCTCTTCCTGCGGCACCTGGAGTCCAGCGGCCTGAACTATTCCGAAGAAAGGACACGGGCGCCAGCACACGGTCGGGCACTTTGGGCTCGGCGTGCCGCGCCGCCGGCCATGGCCCGCCGTGCTTCCGCGCGGCACGCTGACCGCGTCCCGGCCCCCAGGCGTCAACCTCCCGAGCTTTTCCTGGCCTCCCGCCCCGCGGCGCGGAGCGAGGCGCCGTCCGGTCGCAGGGGGCAGCGTGGCACCGGGGTCGCCGCGCGACACGCTGAGCAAGCACCCGCGACCGTGAACCTTCGGAGCTCCGAAAGTTTGTGCTCGTGCCAATCTTCCTTCTTCTGGCTATCAGGGGCACGAGCGGGACTGCGTGAGGTCGACGGCGCTGCTCGCCCTCGGAGTCTTCAACCTGTTCACGTCGATGCTCCCCCCACAGGTCAGGGGCATCCTTAGAGGGGGTCAGGCTCAGGGGGGGTGCATCGAGCCGCTAAGCGCCCATTCATCTCCGAGAGGGCCTGATAGCCCACCCCGTCCAAGAACGTGCGGATTCGCTATCGGGGGCCTATCGCCGATCTATCGGCGATGCTTGAGCTGGTCCCCCCTCTAACGTTGCCCCTCAACAGGCCATGTCGGCGGCCGGCTGGTTCACAGGCTTCAAGGGCGGCAGGGACCAGGCCATGGTCCACTTGCGGCTCTGCTGGGAGGAGCAGGGGATCCTTGCGCCGATCGCGGGCCTCGTGCTCATAGGCTGGGCGGTGGACGTTAGCAGCTTCCTCGGCGAGCTGCGTTCTGAGCGCGAGCCGAAGCACAGGGAGGCCCGCAGGATACTCGACTGGGCGGCCGAGAAGTACCCAGGGGCGTTCTTCTACGAGGGGCTCGAGTGCAGCTACCTGTGCGCCCGCAGGGACCTGCCGGCCGCGGCGCAGCAGCTGGAGCGGGTGCGTCGGATGTTCGTCTTTCGGACCCTCCTGGGGGGCCCACCTGGCGGATCTGTTCGGCTTGAGTTCGACTCTAGTTCGGCTCTGGTTCGACTCCAGCTCGAGTCGAGCTCGATTCTGGTTCGGCTCTAGTCCGGCTCTAGTCCGACTCAAGTCGACGGACGTTCGACGCAGCATCGATGCATGGGTGAAGCGAGTGCTTGGAAGGTCCCCAGAGCGAGCATCTGAGGTGAAGGGCTCGGTGCAGGAGCTGCCGGCGTTCCTCTTCGTCGTGCACCTGCGCAGGGCCGTAACGCTCGCCGCCTGCTTCGACTGGGGCGCGGCGGGGGGCGCTTACGCCGCCGCCGTGGAGGTGCACAGGGCCAAGGGCCGGCGGGCGCTGTGCCCGGCGCTGGCGCTCAACTCGCACCTGTGCTACGTCGCCGCCGGGGACCAGGAGAAGGCCGCGGGAATGCTGGAGCTGATGGGCCAATTGTCCACCACCACTCTACCATACGTAGGACGGGGGAGAAGAGAGGATGGGGAGATCCTTCTCCTCCTGCTCTTCCTCCTTCTCCTTCTCCTCCTCCTCCTCCTCCTGCTCTTCCTCCTCCTCCTTTTCCTCCTCCCTCTCCTACCTATGGTAGTGGTGGTGGAAAATCGGCCCAGCAGGAGCTGTGCCTGTCCTACGAGAAGGAAAAGAAGAAGTGGTCCCCGATAGACAAGAACTCCCTGGCGTCGGCGAGGCTCGCCTGCGGGGCCAGCCCTGCGCCGGGCACCCCGAAGGCCGACGCCCAGGAGCCGCCAGCGGAAGACAGCGCGGCCGGGGCGGAGCAGCTGCCGTGGCGCCCGCGGCTGCTGCTCTACCTGAAGATGTGCGTCGTGCACCGCGTGGTCGACTTCATGTCCCCGGAGCAGGCCGAGGCGTTCCTCGGCAAGGTCCGGCTGCGCGTGTCAGCCACGCGCAGAGGCGGGCCCGGAGGAGGGGGGGAGGCTTCTCTCAGAAGCACCCCTGCTTCTTGGCAGGCGCGGGCCTCGTCTCTGGACGCAGGACCGGCGCCTTCTAAGAAGCAGCCTCCTTCTACTTGAGGAGACTCCCCCCCCCCCTGCCCCCGGGTGCGCGCCGTCAAGCGTGGAGCACGACCCCTCGCCGGAGTGACCCTGCGCGCGGCTCTCGGGGTGTGCTTCGGGGCCAGCCCCCCCCTGCCCCCTGGTGCGCGCCGTCAAGCGTGGAGCACGACCCCTCGCCGGAGCGACCCTGCGCGCGGCTCTCGGGGTGTGCTTCGGGGCCAGGTCCTAGCACGCAGGCCGCTGCTGCCGCGCCGCTCGCAGCGCAGCGGCCGGCAAGCGGCACACCGGAGGTCGCTCTTGCACTGCCTGGGGTCGATGACGACGACGACGACGACGACGACGACGACGACGACGACGACGACGACGACGACGACGACGATGATCTTCATCGTCATCGTCATCGTCGACCGTCATTGTCGTCGTCGTCATCGTCATCGTCATCGTCATGGTCACCTTCTGTCATCCTGCGTGCAGCCGCCAGGTCCGCTGCGAGACGGACGCCTGCGAGGACGCCGACAGCCGCTGCGTGGGCCTGTGGATCCAGGCCGAGGCCATGCGGCAGAGCGAGCGCTGGGAGGAGGCACTGGCGCTCGCCCAGGCGTGCCTGCAGCTGCGGCCGGAGCTCGGCGCGGCGGGCCGCAAGAGCGGAGCGCTGCAGTTCACGAAGCTGATCGAGGGGTACGCGCGCTTCGCGCAGGGCCGGCCGGCGGAGGCGAGGGAGGCGCTGTCGCAGCTGCAGCAGCTCGGGGGCGACCACGGCTTCCCGAAGCAGGTGGAGTTCAAGGCGACGCACCTCCGGAGGCTGGTGGGGGCCGAGTTCGAGAACAGCTACATGGAGGTCAGCGTGGCCGCGCGGAGCAAGGCGCGCCTCGTCGTGGAGGTCCCCGACGGGACGGCCGCCGTGGAGTGGGACTGGCTGCTGAAGGACTTCACCATAGGCTGGCATCGTCGAACCCATCCCCATCCCCGCTGGGCCATGATGTCTCAGCCCCGTTGGCCCAGCCTCCTAGGTGGGGATAGGCCCCGCGAACCCCCAAGGAACAGACACATCCCCATCTGGGTGGGTAAGTCGGCCACTGTGGCCAAGGCCACGCCAGTGGGGATAGAGATCGGTGAAACGATGCTCAATAGGCTTTGTCGCCACCGCGAGGGGCGCTGAGGCCAAGGAGCTGCAGCGCGTGGAGAAGTACGCCGCCGAGGACGGGCCCTGCACCGGCAGCTGGGAGGGGACCGGCCCAGCCGTGCTCGAGCTGACTTTCGACAACTCCTTCAGCGTGATGCGGGGCAAGAAGGTCTCCGTCCGGCTCCAACCGGCGGGGCTGAGGGTGGCGCGCGACGGCGGATAGCGTGCAGGCCGTGGGCGCACGCCCTCGCGCCGGGGCCAGACGTCGGCGCGGCTCGGGTGCACGCGGATTGAGTGTGCGTGCGCCGCGCGATGGTCTGGGCATTCC